AAAACTCATCTTTAACATTTTTATCTTTTTTTGTGTTTTCGTTTTTTTTTTTTTTTTTTTTTGTTTGTTTTTTTTTTTTTTTTTTTTTTAAATTTAAAAAAATAAATTTTTTTATTTTTTATTATTTTTCGAGAGGCGCCATTTTTAGCGCAAAAATGACAAAAAAAAAAACAAAAAAAACAAAACAAAAGTAAAACAAAGCAAAGAAAAAAAAAAAACAGCAAAAACATAATTTAATGAAATTGCTAATAAAATTATACATTTATCACCAATTAAATGAATATTTTATGCACTTTCTTAATGCTTCCTTTAAACGTTTACGTTTGCGTTCACATTCACATTCATTCAATAAGCGAGTCGCACCGTACACAATACACACAGTGTGGCATTGTTGCGGCGCTATGCCAAATTAACTTAAAAATGTTATCAATTTTCAAAATCAAGGTTGATTAAGGTTTGGGTCAGTGGCTTCTTCATCAGCTTATCCCTCCAAGCAATAAAATAAAAAAGAAAAAAATAAAAAAAAAAAATAAAAAAAAAAAATATAATAAAAACACTAAAATACAAAAACAACTGGCAAGTTATCACCAGGATAGTAGTGAAGCAGCAGGCACCATATTGAAATGATTTGTGTTTAGATTGATGACTAATAAGTTGTGATGCAATTAATTGAAAACTGTAACTGATACCGATCTTTCAATGGTCTCAGCTACAAGCAAATCTCATTAAGCCACCAAAGATAACAAATTTGTTGGGAGAGAAGAATTTCAACATTCTCCAGTTTCACAACAATTCTCAACAACAAAATCAAAACGCAAGACCGGGCAATGTACATTTTTTTGAAGTGGGGATATTAACCAAATATATGTTTGTATATGAAATTGTGAAGAAAAAGGTTAAAGAAAAAAGAAAGGAAATTTTGTGACAAAATGAAATCAAGACGATAAAGTAATGAGATGATTTCTAACTGGACGGGAATTAAAGGGTATTATAATGTCATTATAATCGGTTTATATATAAAGAAGTTACTGAATTTCAAGAAATCTTAAGAATCGAATAAACAAATTGTATGTCAAATTTTAAAAACATTTGCTTAAATTAAGTAAAAATATATTTAAAATACCTATATAAAAGTAATCTCATCTCACGATCGATCAATCGTTTGGTTATGTTGTAAAATGTTGCACTCTTAGCTTGCTTTATAGTTGCTTTATCTCTTTTAAGATGATCTAAATATAAAACTTTTTAAAATAACATTTTCGAGCTTGACATGTGCTCGTCGTCTTAAAATATTTTGAGTGATAGATTTAAAGTTAATTCAACTGAAAGATCGCAGTCGATCTTGCAGTCGTATTCTAGCTAAGAGTTTTCCGTAATCGCCGAAAAATCTTCATGCATTTCTCCTTCAAACACCACGATTACACTTTTAAAGGCCGCGATATTCACGTCGGTAAATTAAGCATATATTTAGGAAATATTTGATAGTTGTACGACTTGTACGATAAATGAGAGAAAGATCTAAGAATAAGTGAAAATTACCATTGTAGATTCGTAGTGACCAAATTTCCAATAGCCTTCACCTTATTTAGGCTTCTATTAACTGTAGGCTAGTTGCACGAGCCAATCGATTATATATCCTGACCTTTTGAAAATATTTCTCCTATATTTCAAAATAATGATTATATGTATTTATTGTCTTTTACTATTGAAATCTCTACCGCATTTGAGAGATTTGAGATTTGAATCCGCGATCTTTTGCTTACTAGAGTTTGCTCATGCGGTGGCTACGTTATTGCGAATATATGCTAATACTAGTAAAATTTAAAAAATTCGTTCCTTTTTTATGAGTTCATTTGAATCGAATCGAATTTTCTTTTTAACTTGTGCTATATAACCCTGCAGCCAACTCACGCATTAGTATCGTATATCAATTTCATTTTATTGGCATATTCTACGAGGATCTCTTTGACCCAAAGACGGATTTACACATTCCTATACAGTCTTAAATTTCTTAGTTCGCGTTTTACTACAGTTTCGTTTTTATATTGAGGGCGACGGATTATTCTTGTGTCTTTCTGACGGACCTTTCTTAAATTAATAGCAGCCACAAGCGAACGCCACAAAAAACGGTAACAAGTAAGGTCCTTTCGAAATCAGCTCTCTTCAACTCCTACTTTCAATTAATGGTACACTGATTAGCGTTGCCAATCAACAAGAAAACTTTATATTTGAAATGCAAATACCGTTACTTCGAATAAGTTATTCTATTGCCTTGCATGTTAATTCTTAAGCTAGCTTGCCACTCTTAAAATGAAAAACGAAAGGGAGTTTATGACTTTGGCCTTTACATACTTTGTCCGAAAATATTGTTTGCATATCTGCAAAATTCGGGTCTAAATAAGTTGGTACTAGCAATTAACTCGTTCCCTACCAGAGTTCCCTAGAGAAAACGTCAATTGCAATCTAAGATTTTTTTCGTGATTATATGACATCGACAGCTGTAAACTTGTCAATCGGCACATCGTATCGGCAATTGAGAGCAATAGACCGGTCAATACGCAACACGTTTAAATATTCTTTAGTAAACTGTCCAAAAACATTTGTCACATATATATGACATCGGACTGTGGCAAAAATCGGCTGTGTTATATGCATTTGATGGTGCGTAGTTAATAAGTAAGTGGCGCAATAATTATTTTGCCTCATCTAGAGCGTAAGCAAAACAACCATTTTGAGTTCTTTGGCGGTTGTGTTCGAATTTTTCCCTAATATGTAGAATTGAACCGCAATTACACATGTGAAATTTCAAATATATTTGTAACGTGGAGCAGTAGTCAATATGGTTGGACCAACTGAACTCACAATTAGGTTAAGTGCCCATAGTTTAAATTCCCAGGTAAAATAAGTAAATGCCATCTGCCCACAATCGTTTTAACAATCATTACTAAATTTCTTATTAAATATATTTTAAAAGATGATAAAATTTCATAAACAATGTTTAAATTTAAAGTAATATTCACATTTCGAAGACCACACGCACTTGTTTATCTTCTCATGTCATTTTCACTAGTAGAGTTTACGAGATCATTAATAAAATGATATTAATTTCAAGTTAATGTTTACGATAGAAATTATATATGATAATATTTTATTGCGTATCAGAAAACCAGTTGTATTGGAGCTTAAAACAATGAATGAATTAATTAACAGCGCTTTGTTAACATATGCCTACGAAGTAGGGAGTAAGCAAGCATTTTATATAAAGTCTGAGAAACAATTTTCAACTAATTAATTAATTAAAATCGATTTTAAACAGGTGTTTACCCTAAGAAAATACCTAATAAATGAATTTGATGACAAAGTTAAAAAACTTGTTAATGATTTGTTAAATAGTTAAGTAGGTTTATTCCCCTCCGTTCTGCAGCGATGAATGAACAGAAAAATTTCATTATTGCAGCATTAACAGAGTTTACAGTCGACACATATATCGAAAGCATTCCACGCACAGTTCTACATGCATTAGTGTCTTCTAGGGCCGACATATTATTTGTAATCACTTTTCGTTTGCCTCTTTTGAGGTTATGTTATATTGTCTCTTCGTGAGGCCATGTCGCATCAAGTTCGTACTTAATTATGTAATATTTTACACTTGGGAAGCAATTTACGTAAATTATTTCATTTTATCTTTTCTCTGCTTTGCTGTTTTTAATATGTAATCATCGGCGCAGGCGCTCATTATTCTTAGCGTCACGAATACGAAAAGTACAAAGAGTGAATAAAATATTTTGATGAACAGTCTTTCCGTTTTCCACGGCCCCTTCGCTTGTAACGCAGGCAGCGAAAACGTCGATCTTTATATCCTCAGAGTCACAAAGGAATGGAATGAAACGGTCTGCGAGCGTAAAATGGTGCAAAAGTCGTTGAAACACAATCATTACTGCGCTTATGTACGAGACCTTTTCATGCTTTAACCAAAAAAAAAAAAAGGAAGCAAGAAAGGCTTCACATTTTGTCACAAGTCACGTTTCCTCATTTTTGGCAAGTTCGCTTATTGTCTAGCCATGCACTCCGACGTGCTGAAAGCGGCTCAAACAGATATTAATCGACTTAGAGCGGGACAAGCGAAAAAGCAGTACAACTGTTCATTTATCTCCATAGAAATTGAGTCCTTGCTCTGTAGACTACGCCAAATCCCGTATGGCCATTTCAAGACTTTGATGCGGTTTAAGAGAATAGCGCTATCAGCCGCAAAACGAAGAGAAGTGTTTCGGGAAACGCTCTTAATCCATATGATCAAAGGGTTACGTGGGTAATGCACCACTTCTGGCCGAAGCGTTGAAAGCTTTTTGTCTCTTTCGGATCATAGTCGTGTAACGTCGTATCTTTCGTTTCATTTAATAAAAATCCCATGCGATTAATATGACTGAATTATATTGCATGATATAGAGAGAAATGAATATAAAATTTGTCTTCAGAGAAAGTATTATAAAATTGTTGATTATCTGGTGCAATTTTGTTGATATTTAATAATAGACATATATACTTTTTTTTAAGGATTTTTAAACTTCCATTGCAAACGCATTTCGCTATGCATTATTGTTGTAGACAAATGCAATATTTTACAAAAAAAAAAAAAAAGTTATTAATTACCAGCCAGGTTTGCAGTTATATTTCTCTTACGATTGAAATTCGCTCGTACGGGCCTTTAGCAAAAGTATTGATTTGCTGAAAAATGTTCAAATTTTTTCATACTTTTTATTACTGTACAGTACACATTTATTCGCTATAAATATTCTTTCTAAATTATAAAATAAAAAAAAAAGAGAAAAATTTATTACATATGCTATAATATCACGTTAATACATTTTAAATAATACTATCAAAGTTAAATCTAGAAAAACTAGAAATATACATAAAATACTAAAAATAATAATAAAATAAAATTTCTGGTTAATAAATAATTTTTTCTTTTTTTTTTTTCGAAAATTATCACGCGTAATGGAAAGCTTCTTTTTTTTACAAGAAATTTTTAAAATTTTACAAAAGTATTGTTTACATACTATAAACAAGTATTGATTTCACGTTTTTCAAGGCATTTCTCACATGTTACCTCACAGCACCATTTAAATACACATTTACAATTAACCCATTCGGAGACAATGCGATGCTTGTAGCCCCGATTGCAGCATAATTGCTCGCAACTATCTGATTTTAATGACGTAGCATTGCACTCTCGTTCCTGTGTTCCCACAGAACCGGTACGCATATTCGGCTCACAAAAATCAGGCGAATCATCCGAATAGACTAAATCATACTTTGTGGGTTGTTTCAACGTTTCAATTTCGGGCATATAACTATTACCGTCGTTACGTAATATAACTTTCGAGGCACGATCGAATTTATCGCGTAGACGGGCAGCCACTTCTCGAAAAGGTGGCATTTTCAACCAACATGTTTTCACAGTGCATGATCCAGATAATCCGTGGCATTTGCATTCCAATCGCATCGAGTCACGTATAGTCTGTAAGGAAGAAGTAACAAAAAAAAATTTGTAGAAAGTTTCAGTACTTTTTTTAGCCGCTAAATATAGGGAGCGAACATAGTAGTAATCGTAAAGTGATTTACAGGATTGCATCATATAAGAGAATTATTTAATAAATTAATGTTAGCTTTTCGTTTCCCTGAAAGCACTTTTCCTTTCTGTATTACTCTTCTCGTTCTTCTTATGTTTTTTTTTTTTTATTTTCTTCCTCTCGACCGTTGCTTTCTCTCAACTTTTATTCCCAACTCTCTTCTTTCCCCTCCATGGTGTTTCCTACTGCTATCTATTGTGCTTACTTTTTCCTTTTCTTTTCTTCTCTTCCCTTTTCCCTTTCATCTTATCCTTTCATAACCTATCTTCTCTTATCCTATTCTATACTGCTGTACTTTTCTATTGTATCATATCTTATGCTTTCCTATCCTACGCTATGCTCTCTTATTTTTTCCTGTAGTCTCATTTGTTTTTTCTCTCTTGTCCTTCCTTCCTTGCTGTTTTCTTTTCTTGCCTTTTGCTTCGTCCGCTTTTCTTTCTAGTGCTTTGCACTCCCTTACCCTTTCCTTTGTCCTTTCTCTTGCTCCTCTTTTGCTCTTTCTCTGCCTTTCCAATTTTTTGCATTTAAATTTTGCTTTGCCTTTGCCTTTCCCGTTCGCCTTTGCAGTGTCCTTTGCTCATTCGCTCTCTCCCATGCATTTTAATTTTCCGCTACCTATGCTTTTCCTTTGTCTTTCCCATTTTTTCTCTTTGCTTCTTCCTTTCACTTTCCCTTTACCATTTTTTATTTCCTTTGCCTTATCACATCCACATTCTTTTTTAAAATTCTTTTTCCTTCCCTTCCTTTTCTTCTTCTTTCGTATCCCCAAGTCTTTTCATTGCATTATCCTTTGGCCTTTTCTTGCCCTTTGCCTTTTCCTCTGCCTTATTCTTTCACTTCGTCGTTTTCTTTGCCCTTGCCTTTGTTTTCCTCTTCAATTTTTCCTTCGCTTATGCCTCTACCTCTACCGTTACCTTCTCCTTCCACTTCTATTGGCTTTCTCTTTGCATTTTCTTTTGCATTTCCCTTCATCTCTTCCATGACTTTCTTCTTCGCCTTTTTCTTTACGTTACCTTCGTTCGTTTCCGATCGTCCTTTTTTTACCATTTCTTATGGCTTTTCATTTTCCTCTCCCTTTTCTCTTTTCCTTTCCCAAGCGATTTCTTTGCATTCCACCTTTTTTCCCTTTCTTCTTTCCTGCGACTTTCCCTGCGACTTTCCCTGCCCTTTTTCATTTGCATGGCAGTTTCTCTTCCCTTTTCTTCTTCACTTGGCTCATTTCGTTTGGCTTTTTCTTTGCCTTTTTTCCATCTATTCTTCTCTTATCTCTTTGCATTTTTTACGAAAGTAATTATTTTTTTTGTTGACCTTTCTATTTCAGAATCCCTTTTGATATCATACTGTTAAAATTTATTCTACTTACCAAACGTCCTGCTCGATTATTGTGTAATTTTACCATTGTACGCAAATCACTTCGACGCCTATATCGAGAATCTAAAAATACGCGAGAATGACGAAATCCAAAATTGACATTATCACTGCAACCACCCCATTCCCATTCGCCTTCTGGGAATTTAATGTTCTTTAGAAGTCTCCCCCGGCGATTTTTACCTCTGCCACGTTTTGCAACATTTGTTGTATTAATCTTTTCATAGGCTGCTTGCTGTCGTTCTAAGGCTGCAACCGCCGTAACAGCATTTACCATTTGTGGTTGACCGCCATTTCGTCGCGAATGGCTGCGATCGCAAGAACATTCAATTAAGTTCCCTAAGGTACATGCTTTGGTCACCGCATAAGTAACACCGGCCGAAGTAATAGCGTTTACAAAACCGGTTTCTCGAGTATCTGCAAAAAATATATAAATAAAACAAATTATTATGAAATTTATAATTAAATCATATGTATACACCTATATGTACACGCTTCTTTACGTTGTTACTTTGCTGACATTGCGATGATGTTGTTTTGACTGTAGACACTTGTTACATGTCATTGCTTGACACATGTCACGTACTCATTTCCATATCAATCCTTTAGATACATACAAATGTTTAAATCATCATCATTATTGCAGGTTTGCCAAGCTATCATTTACTTTGTGATTGCGTTCTTTTCTTTTTTTTTTCTTTTTTTTTTATTTACTTTGTATGACACATTGACTTGAATACGGATTGTTTCGACGATTGTGTCTATTGTTTACTTGAGTTTTATTGCAATTTTATCTTTAACTATTTATTGCTTCTATTTTTCCCTCTTTATTTTTTTTTTTAGTGTTAATAGCTCAGTGAATAATTAGCGTCGCTTAAAAATTCATTTCAATGTGGAGTGAATATTTGTCTTACTGTCAGCACTAAAAACGTAATTATTGTTGACACATAATGATATGTTTATTCAAGATCCCATAAAACATTGCTTTTGCTTTCGAAAACTGAAATTCAAGACAATTGTGGGAACATTTTTTCAACTTTAAAAAACGGAAATAATATTCCATCGATCGGGATGCGATGCGTTTAGGAAATTACTTTACATGAAAAAGGTCGAAATTATGATTTTTTTAATGAAAGTAAATTTTTACATTATGAAATAATAATAAATGTTACAAAAAACAATTTCGTCGAAAACCGTTTAACTTGCAGCTGAAAGTAACTTGCAGTTAACAGTTGGCACAGTTTGGCAGAAGTTCTTTCTTACTGAGAAAGGAGGTTTTTGCAAGCCACATCTTGACATCCGTTGCTTTTACCTTGAAGATACTGTCGCTACCATTCACTACTTTTCGTCTCTAATAAATTAATCAAGGAATTTCACTTTTCCACCTCGAAGCTCGCACAATGTTTTCTTCCAGGCCTTTATTGCAGCGTTTTTCGAAAGCGTTGCCCGTTTCAGATTGCTTCGCTGTGAAGTTTGGCAAAAAAAAAAGACCGACAGGTAGCGCAAACGAGATCATATAAAGCTTTAATTAAAACTGAAGATTCGAAAATGTGAAGTTTTTCGCTGCTCGCGGACCCTTTGGGAAGCAGTTATGGAAGCCAAAAAAGTCGAATGTCAATTTTTGAACGTATCGATTATACGAATATGTAACCATTTAGATAACATTATAGTCGGGCAAGGGCGACTCTTAGACATACTACACCACTGTCGCCTAGAACAGTTATTCAGTCGTTTTATTTTTACACATAATTTTCATGGTAAGGCTAAAGTATGCCCGCACGCCAGAGGATTCCTAAAACGTCACGGGACATGATTCACACTTAGTCCATATAATTTACTTCCCAAAAATTTGATTATATTTTATTTCTCGTCATAAGAAACTAAAAATTTGACTTTTTCTTCATGTTTGAGTTTCCTTCTTATGATAACTTGTATGTTGGCGTCTAAAAAATAGATCAACGTGATCCAAATTCCTTACCGTCAATTTTTATGTTAAATTGCTACTATGAACCAATTTTTGTCATAAAATATTAAAAACTAAATGTTTCCCTGAACGGGTTACTTACTATTAATGACAAATTTTATATAGAAAGGCGCCTAAGAAAAGGAGTGGCTCAAATTTGATTTAGTTAATTTTTATGTTAAATAATTATCGTGAATAAATTTTTGTCACAAAAAATTATTTATTACATTACATATGTCTTTTAGGCATAGAAGCGCTTACATTTCATGAGAATTCTTACATGCAGTGGTATCCAAATTGGGTAAGATTGGTTACTATTTTAATTTACTATTATGAACCAATTTTCATCATGAAATATTGAAAATTGGAGTTTTTACCATTTGAAGATTCAATTCTCGTAGGAGCAGTTATATTGAGGGAAGGATTCAAAAAATTTTCCTAACCAAAGCAAGTATTTTATACTAATTTAGAATATCGAAATACTATCACACAGTGAGTTTGGGAGAAAAATTTTGAAAATTTGAAAGCCTTTTCCATACAATTAAAAACGCGAGCAATTCGAACTATTTTCGATGACTTTTGTCCTTCGGTCAAAAAACATGCCAGTGCACCAAACCGCATCGAAATATTTCAAAAATAACGATCTATAAGTTGAACACAAAAATGTATGGATAGGCATTACACGCACATACAAGCTTTGATCGATTCAGAAACATTTTCAGTTCATTGCCATAAGTGGCGTTAGGAATGAATATCCAAAAAAAAATTGGAGATACCCACAAGCGTCGAGCATGTAAGACGAAAATAAAAGTTGGCGAAGAGGTTTAACAAATTGCGAGCTACAAAGTAAACCCACAACGTGCATAAACGTCCAAAACCGATTGCTGTAACACGAACTTGGGTCCCTTTCAAACCTTTCTGGGAATGTGACATACGGCCTTAAATACTAGGTCAACAAGCATATACTAATAAAAATGTGATAGGCTCATTAAAAAGAAAGATCTTGAAGATACTATATTCTACCTTCAAGTTGTCTCTAAGCAATCTCTTATTCTTCTTTTTTTTTTTTTATTAAAAATTATTGAAAGTTAAATTTCTCATGACTTTAATAAAATGTAAGAAGGCAACGTTGCACGAAATCTTAATTAGAACTAAAGAATTCTCGCATTATTATCGGTTTGCACCTTTGCCTTTGCTTTCAGTATTCATGTACGATTGCTTCCTTACATCTTTGTTTTCCTGTTTAGTCTGAACTTAAGTCTTAAATTAATCACTCTAATTTCCAATGACACTGATTCACAAGAAAACGAATCATTGGGACAACTTAACCAGAAAGTTTTAAAACCAATTTAACTAAACAACGCAAGTAATCAAACGATGTTGAACAACTGCAACTACAGCTAACTACTTTACAAATGGATATCAAAAAAAAAAAAAAAAGAAAGAATTTGTATAAAGAGTGGGCCGCTCTTCGCACAACAATATATACATTCAAACGAAGAAAGAACGATGAAATGATACGAAAAAAATAAAAAAAAAAAAAGCAAAAAAAAAGTTGTAGGCATGCATTTTGCTTAAGCTGGTAAGAGCAGTAAACGATGAACGGCAATTGAAATTCGTAATAAATTTCGCATTAGTTAACTAAGTTGGACATTTAAATTGTTACCGATGACACTTGGTATTCGCGGATGGTTACGGTCGACGATGAAACGGTGAAAACGTAATGAGCCTCCAAATACCCGAAAAACGTCGACAGATTGACAAGACGACAACACTATAAAGTCAAGTGGGAAAACGTTCTCAACTGTCACATACTAAGGAATAATAATAATAATAATAATAATAATAATAATACGAAGAAAGGGAAGAAAAGTAAAATAATAAGAAGAAGAAGAAGAATAAAAAGAAGTTTCTGCGAGAGCGACCACAAAATAATCGGCTAATAATATATTGCATTGCAATGCATGCATTGCCTTAAAAACTTAACACGGTTTAATCCATGCTTAAGCATTGTTATTTATGACCAATGATTTGGGTCTGCTTTTGTCATGCAGCAGCAATTATAAGTTGTACTAAAATCGAAGCAAGTACAACGTCTGCTGTTTTACAAAAATCTAAAGCCGCCAGTTGACACATCACATCGCATCGCATCATCAAATAAACCACCTTCATCACAATTCGTAGAGTGTAGTGTGTAGTGTAGTGTGTCGTGTAGTGTAGAGGTCTAGAGTGTATGGAATACATGAGTTGCATTTTGTTCGGGAAGATGATGATCATTATGACGATAGTCGGCGGTAGTCATTTGGCGATTATATTTATTTGTGGGGTATACATGAATACATGTGTTCGCGTTGTCTTTTATGAGTGTATAGGTGTATTGTTTTTCTTTTAGCGGCTTCCTTTTTTTTCATTTTTTTTTTTTTATTTTTTTTTTATTTTTTTTTTTATTTACAATCGTCACCTGTATAAGCGGAGCAGCTTGTTTGGCTGGCCATACATTTTTCACTGGGCTGCCTTTCATTTGCTTTGTAAACTTGGTCATAATTTATTTAAATTGACAGCTTGGATGCTCATTTTAAGCGCTATTCATCAGGTTTCAACATTTTTATTATACATAGTGATGGATGATGTGGTTTTGTTTTGTTAATGACAGTTTGTATTCCGCAAATTGTTGCAATAATTAGCTAAAGTTTGCGCATAACAAAGTATGAGAAATACGGAATGCGTTTTTGCACATGTGTTGTCAAATTCGAAGGCGTAAATTCTGGAATTCGAGGCTATTTTCATCTACACTGCTCTGTCTACGGCGTATATATGATAAATAATGCAGCTCCTATGCTATTGCTTTGATTAAATGCTTCGCAGTATATACTAACTAATACATTTTGGATATTGCTGCTCATTATCTGCTGCATGTACTAATCTGTTACTACTCGTGATTCAGTAAATAGTACATGGTGAGTAGGGTTTCGTGTATAGTATCTTACATCTTATTATAATATCTAGTATCCAGTATTCAATACCTAATACCTTGTATATAGTATGAAGTATTTGGGAGTGCCTTCTGGTGGAGTCGTTATACATCCACTATTTGTTAGAATATGTTAGCAATGTGACAACAACGACGGGACAAATATTCGAGAGGAAGTTGAAACCAACGTATCGTAATTCCAAGCGTTGTACAATGCGCGTGGAGAAAACGTGGAGACAAAAATTTTCTCTTAAACCAAGCTTTGGCTGGGCATGGAACCTGCTGGAATTAACTTTGCAGATTAGATTGCTATGACAGAGCATCAATGGAGATGTTTTTATTTGCCCGCCTTAGGTATCTTTGAGAAATGCGCTTTTCAAATCTCTCTTACACCCCGTAAGCAATCAGCCCGATGGATACGGGAAAGCTCCGGAGTAAAGCCTCGTGAAGGTGACGTTCGAACTCCTAATATCATGCAAGGATGAGGAATGCAGGTCCCAACACGGTTTTGTTCAAATCTCGTGGGGCCACTAGCTGGCAATGCGCTGTCACTACGACCGTTAAAAAAAAATTAAAAAATCTACTACAATCTATGGTTGGGTCTCTTGTACCTACAAGCTAATACTCAATATCTAGCATCAAGTCACTTGCATTTAGCATATAATATCTACTGATTAGCCTCTAACATCTGATATACAATATATAGTTATGCAATAATTAGTCCTTAATATTCAGTACCCAATAGCTGATATCTAGTATACGGTGTCTAACCCGTACCTAGTTTTTATTACCTAGCATTTAGAATCTAGTTGCTAGACTTCTCGCAACTAGTATAAAGCATTTAACATCCAACATATATTGTCCACTATCAAGCAGATATTTTCTATTATATATCATGTCTCGATCAGTATCATATATATATATATATATATATTTGTTTACTTTAGGTGCAGCGATAGAGTTTTGCCATCGTGTGACTATAGGACTGACAATATGGGCGTTGAAGCCGTATCAGTCATTCACACATTCTAGCTTACTTGAGAATAGATGTCTTTGTACTTCACCCTACGTTCAGGAACCCTGCGCCCTTATCGCTGATGTACTTACTTTCCATCCAAACCTGAACTTTAAGGGCTAATATAAATAGAAACGATTTGGCATAGATTGCTTGCTATTAACCATGTTGGCATAAAAAGAATCGGCTCAATATGGCCATTCGCATCTATCAAAAATGCCATCCGAGTATATATGAAATTATATTTCGTAAATTTACTATAACTTGACTACCGTATGCCTTCAATCGAGTCTGGCTTAGTTTAGATTTAAAAACTCATCGTTCTGCAGACATATTATATATGTTACTTCTATCTCTCATTTACATTAAGTACTTACTCTATATCGTCTCTCTCTTACGCCATATTGTCTGTGTTATTTACGTTGGCTGTCTTATCCATATAGTCAGTCTATATTACTCAACCTATCTAAGCTGTCTATTATGTACACCGTTTTACCATTTTATCTGTACTATTATCTATCTATAGCAATATTGCTTTGATCATCTTTATTATATTGTCAAATGTGTTTTAGTCTTCTATTATTGCTTCTGAGCAGTGCTTTGAGAAGTGTGTTTCTAAATTTTTAATGCCATCACTGGCATGTATTTAATTGATTTAATTGTTAATAGGAAAAGTAAGTTTTGAACTTATATGTCGTGAAGACTTTTAACGAGGGATTCAATTACTTAGCATAGTATTGCAAAGCAATTCTATCGAGAAATATTTTTGCAATAGTTATTTCATTTTAGCTGGGAGTTCATTGATGATTGACTCATATTTCCGATTTATTATAGTTTCTTTGTTATTTACATATGTTATGCGATTCATGTGTAATCATAAAACAAATACCTTTCCTTTGCCTAGGTTCACACCCTACAAATTATTACACATACAATTAATTTATGCGGTGTTAATTTTCATCTGCTTGCCTTACTTTACACTCCAGAGATATTTTAGTAAACATTTGCTCAGATTGTGTAAGTGTATGGTACGGTATGGTATGGTATGGTATATACCTGTATATATATATATATATATATATATATATATATATATATATATATTTTAAATCTTTTATGCACGAGTTAAGCTTGTCAACACTTGCTTTACAATGAAATGACAATGTTTTCCTGTACAATACACAAAGCGCCGCCTCATAGACCGCCGCCGAACGGCCAACTGAGATCAAACTAAACGATCTACATCACACACTGCAATGAACAGTCAGACAAGCGCAGATATCTGCATATAAATGCATACAACAAACACAACCTGCAATGCATATAAACAACAAGTGCAAGCTGATGTCTCTTCACTGATCTAAGCTGCCAACAACAGCAACGAAAAAGCAGAAGACAAAAAAAAAGTAAAGAAAATAAAAAAATAAAAAAATATAAATAAATAAAAGAAAAAAATAACATCTAAATATAAATGTTTGTACAAATAAATATGTGCATGTGTAGATCTTTCTTGCATTGCGTTCGTGTGCTTATGTGTGTATGAGGGCTGACTAGCAATGTTGTCAACACTGCATAATAATGAACTTAATTTGTTACATGTTAATGTACAACAATAACAACAGCAGCAGCAACAACAACAACAAAACGACGCAATAAGAACAAACAGTTAATGTTCTGGTTCTTTCTTTCTGCTTTTTGTTGTTGTTGTTTTTTTTTTTTTACTTTTTTGTTTTCTTTTTTTAGTCAGAACAAACACTCTCTTACATCGACCGGCTGTCTGTATTAAGCACAATTTTATATGCAAATTACATTACCAGATAATGGGTTAAGAGGCCTATGTCAACATGACCAAGCAATGAAAGGATATTTAAATGCTACTTTATATGAGTTCCAGAAAATATTTTCACGTTTTTCTTATTGCACATCACACAGCGCGCAATAAGTAAAAAATAAAAAAAATAATAAAAAACAAAAATATACGTAACTGTGTGTTATTGTTTTTAAGAGAAATTTTGCTTATTATACTTATGCATGTGTATAAGAATTGCTTACCTCTCATTAGGATTTTTCTCATGCTTTTACGTAAAGCAGTGCAATTCCAGCGACGATTCCGAAATTGAAATTCACATTCTCGGAAGCCTAGATTAATGCCGTTGATGATCTCCTTTAGAAGAGCAGAATCGTGACGGCAAATTTCAGCCATTTTACCACGTAGCCGGCGTGTCTTTTTACACATTAAATATGGATCAAGTAATATATTAGAGCCCTCAGCCCTATAAAAATGCCAAAGAAAATATAAAATTCTTTTAAATTCATATTTATATGATAATATGACTAAGTAGGGAAAACAATTTATTTAATCCGGAAGTGAAAAAATTACAAAAAAAAAATCGTTTTTTTTTTTTTTTTTTTTTTTTATTATTTAACAATTTTTATTCCAATTACAAAAATCTCAAGAACACTCATTTAATGTTTTAATGGATGTGCATTCATATATATTGTATACATATACAATATTTATCGCTACCCACATCATATGCCAAGAACTAATGATTTCGATAATCAACTGATCATTATTCACTTAAGTATACAAATGGAAAAAGCGTTCAAGATGACGTTTAATGACTTGCTGGCATTTTAATGAGCTATATGAGGTGTAGTGTATTCAACTTAAGCGAAATAAAAGAATTGCTATATTATTGTAGAAAAATGATCGCCATGATCATCCCTATTACATAACAATTGCGGATACATTTATAGAAAAATTTCCTTCTTTCTAATTTGTTGAGTTTGGCGTTTTATATCCAAAGCCAGTGAAAAAGAAATAGTTGAAATGTTATAGCTAGGATCGTTAAATACCCTACAATAACTCGCCTCATGCAAATCTTTATCTATATAAAAAATTTTATTTTCTTTCTATACAAAGGTTTATATTTCTTGAAAACTCTTTTTTATATATGAAGCGTCCAAAGAATGAATCGTTGTGTCAAATCGTGAATTAGTTTTTATCATAAAATAGAGAAAATTACATCTTATTGCCATATGAAGACTCTGAATGGTGACGATGAACAACAATTCTGGTGAAACAGTTTTAAAAATTGGTCGCAGGCGATCCAGAATTTTCATATCTCATCTTTGTATTACATTGGACAGAGGACGCAGAGTACGCGTTCAATTCAAAAAATGGAGCAAAAGAGATATGGCTTACGGTCAGCAAAAACCTGTCAGGCTCTACGCAATCACATCAGGAACGGCATCGATGATCATTATCAGTACTTGCTGTCTTCATAAATCGAGCTCAATACAACGATCTTTGCCACGTGAACGACTACTTAAAAGTGGTAGCAAGGATCAGTAAGATGTGAGCTTTCTACTTAAGGCAAAGAAAAACTATATTGCACTGATTTTCGTTGAGTGTTCGTGAACATCATCCGTTACAATCATTTCCCGTAGCATTCTCACCAAACTATACCAATTTGTCAAATTTCATCAAAATAGACAAGCAAATGTAGGTTAAAGTAGATTGAAAGTCTCTCTTTCTCTCTCTCTCTCGCTTTCATAAAACATCATAGCATTTATTCCATAGATTTCTGAATCACAAATTTGATAAACTCTTACCATATATAGTGCAGGATATGAAAATTCAGAAGAATCTCAAGAATGTATTTCATTCCATAAAGAGCACGAGAGATTCTTTAAGTTGCTAGGAATCTAAAGGATAGTGAATTGAGGGTTCGCCTCAAAATATTATACTTTTTTGATTCTTGGTCTGTTTTTAAAAACTTTTAAATGGTAGAAATAAAGCAACGTATTTTGCAAACCTTCTTCTACACGAGATTATGTGAAGAGTACTAAAGTAGGTTCGACGAAATCGGTAATAATCTACTAGAAGGTGAAATATATCGACGTAGACACATTGCGTAGCCAATGATCTGATGGCAGATAGTTTGAAAGCAATTGTTAACTATGGTTCAAATACGCCATTGGATCGTAAGGTATTTGCACACAAAATAACACATGGGTGGATGGACATGATCTCGAGAGAAAGTTTTTGCAATTCAACGAAACCTTTTATGGTTAAGGAATTACTCACTCAAGTATATGTTGTCATCTTAAGAAGAAGGATAGGATGTAACGTGCGTTTCTAGAATTACGGAGGTTTTAATCTTTGCTAAAAGAAAAGAAAGTAGTGCTCCTATAGTTAAGGGCATTATACTAAGTTTCAGTGTAAGGACAAAATTCTAAAAGGCAAGACGGCGACTGATCGAGAAATTGCAAGCAAAGTGGATGAGCCCATCCGGTGGGACTAGATAAACGAAGCACTTACTATCTAACATATCTAGCTCATTATCTCGAACACATTAATTAGTCACTGAATTGCTCAGTAGACATAATTTGATGATGGTAGGAACTCAGTTAAAAAATCAAGCCGCAAATTTCTTTTAGCTCAGTAGGGAAAAATGCAGGACATGTCTTTTGTGAGAATTTCTCTTGCTAGGATTTGGTGTGTAATAATGCGCTGTCGTCTTACTAATGAAAGGCGATAAAATTCTTGTGACTATTGTATTAATGTGAGTGACATTGCGAGAACACTGATTTACTAAGATAAGCAATAAGCGAATTGAATTTTGATTTCGATGGCTGGTACAACTTCGTTGCTTTTTGTATAGGATTTGATTTGATTCGAAAAACTTCGAAGCTTACATTGCTCAAAATCGGCAAGAAAGTTAACACGAACATATCCGATATCTTGATAAAACGAAAGTATAGGGTATTCGATCAATTTGTCCATGCCTTCATTGATCGATACCATTATATATCAATATTTGCTTTTTTTTAACTTGTCATCACTCTGGAAAAAATAAATCGTCAAATCAATAACTTTTACTGCTGCGGCATACACTAATCTTTAAGATCAATATAAATATAGAAAAGAATTCTCACGTACTCTCTAAACCGCTAACTTAACCACGCCACTTAACTATTTGTCTTAGTTATTTGAATATTAAACAGTTTTTACAGAATTTCATTTGTCTATTCAAATCATTTATTCATAGGAAGGATCGCACACGTTTACGCATCAGACACTTTGTATGCTTATGTTAAACCAAACAAGGCGATAAATTGACGTTGACTCTAATAGTAAATGCATTTTCAAAGTTGGCGGCTACATCTAAAGAGTTTAACTCAATTTGAAAACCAAAAAGAAAATTTCTGATCAGAAAATGAAGGGGTGAACGTGAATCAAAAACTTACTCATTCACTTTTCTTAAAAAAAAAAAAAAAAAAAAAAAAAAAAATCAAAAGTGAAAGCTATATACGCCCTCTTTGATCTCTGCTAAAGCTAGTATATTACAAAGTTAGATATAAATATATGCGCATCGATTAGAAGGTTGAGACCATGTTTTCACCGACAATAGCTTTACTAATAGTTCCAGTTAAGAATGTACTCAAAATTTTTGATCCACATCCACTGTTAGTTTTTAGTTATTGGTTCAATTTATTTGCAATATTTTCTCATCCATATTTTGTATTTAGGTTATTGGCGTGAGTGTGTTTGTACGGTTTATATTAATTTTTTATTTAAAAATTAAAGATCGGTCATCATGTTCCGCTGTTTTCCGTTCTTTATTTCAATTTCTGTAACCTTGAGAGTTCCTCTGTTTTGGGGGGACATAAGGACGGACATTAATAAATTAACACTAGATTATAATCTGATACAAAAGTTTTTTAAGTGTTACAAAAGGAATAACATACGTTGTATATTTAAAGCTTAGAGGTGAACTTATAAGTTATTGATATTAGGGAAGCCAAACGAATCATTCTGAATGTGAAGAAGAGAAATCAATAAAAGTTTTAGTTAAATAAATAAAACAAACTTAAGAGTTGAAGATCATTTTCTTGCTTCTCGAGTATGTAAGCAACAGAAGAGAAGGACTCTTCCCTATATATATATACAAATGTTTACTTAAGATGACACATACTTTAGATTCGCGTATATATATGTAAGGCTTGTATTGTCTTTCCGTTCGAATGTCTTTGCCTGACGATATCTTAAGCAGATTGATATTAAGTGTGGTCAGTGTTGTGTTGATATTTATATTTAAACTTTCAATTCTCTAACAAATATTTACTTATCAAATAAAACTGCTTCATTTTTCTGCCTGAGCACATATATGTATATACATACGCGTACGTATGTAAAGCTAAATCTTTTAAAAAGACACCGAAACATCGGCATTTGTACATAAATATGGTGGGTGTCCACTTATTGATAATAAGTTTTTTTCTTTTATTTCTTCCTCCTATCCACACTCTCTCTCTCTCTCTCTCCCTCCCTCTGGGGACTTGACGCGCGCAGTTTGTCAATTTGTGTATGCAAAAAATTTTTTGCTTGCCTGCAAGTGTTAAATATATTCACTTCTTTTAGCATTTATATAATATACACACATCCATACGCGTTTACGGAGATTTACACAAATGTTTCTTTGGTGATCCGCCTGTCGCAAGGCAGAGTGTTGATCAATATACAACAAGTAGGCGTTCAGTTGTACGAGTTGTCTGTCGTTTCATTATTATCATCGTTATTATTATTCATTTTTATTCAAATCGCAACCACTACTGCCTGCCTGTTGGTTGATTTGTTGCAGTTTGTATATTATCAAGTAGTGTCATGTCGCTGCTAAATTAGCGAATTAACATGTTAACAACAATAAATGATCGTTGTTAATAGGTAAGTAAGTAAGCATTTAGTAGCTAGCTAGCGCCAATAAAGGCAAACAGATAGACAAACCGGCTATGCATATATATATATATATATAGATATATATATATATATATATATATGTTTATAAAAATTACTTTATTTAGAAAAAAAACTTAGCTTGTGCTGTACTAAATTATTCATGCTGGTAATGCTACTAATGATGATGATGATGATGGGTGGTCATGTTGACGCCCCGTGTTAAAAACTAAACTAAATGTTTGCAAATTTACAATGGAAAAAACATTTCAAAGTAAAACTACTCTCTTCATGACTAAACAATTTAGATTTTCAATAAATAAACGAATTGATTGCATTTGTTTTTATCATTATTATCATTAGTACTATTATAATTAATTTAGGTAAAATCCGCCTGAGTAGCCGAAGGCGAGGAATCTCGACTAGCAAGTCAATGGTCGTGGGTTCGAATCTCAAGTGCGGTAGAGTTTTTAATAAAAGCCGATAGCCTTAGATGCTAATGCTTTTAAGAGTTTAGTCTTAGAATTTATT